AAAATAAGTTGATATTACGAATATTATTTTATGGGTGCGTGCACATAGCTTAGTTATTATTTTACTCATAAGAAAACATGTTACTTTACCGACCACGATACACTGTTTTCATTTGCTCAGCTCGTACCCTTGTGTGGTGTTATACTTTTGTATTTTTTATGCGAAAATATATTTTCTTTACTTTTTCTACTTCGAATCATAACACGATTACTCACTTTAATCAGTTGTATTTGCCACTTTACGAAACAAACATATAATAAAGAAACGCGCTGTTCTATAGTGGATATTCGATCTATTCAAATAAAAAGAAAAAAATAATCTAAATATCGGAGTGAAATTGATTAGATTTAAGTACGTTAAACGTATTCAAATTTATTTGCTTACTGGAAAAATCGTGTGTGCCTAATATCGCGTAGATGCAACAGAATAATTCGGACATCGTTAGACGTCATCAAGTGTCCAAGTCGTTACATTGTAATGGACAACAGGAGCACTTTTCATGCTTTTGTTGTGCACCCGATGCAGACCTATTTAAACACAAGGAGAGACGCAAGTCCTGGTACTCCGACGTAATTCACATGTAAATTTCAACTCTAATGATTTAAGTTTATCTAAGAAATTTTTTTTAAATTTTTTATCACGCAAGTCGCTTATATCGCTTGATTAAGTTAAGCAGACCTGTCAGTTGAGGTATTTCATTTGTTTACTAAAGAGAAGAGAATTCCTGTAATTGAGGATTCCCCTGCTATTTATTTGCACATTTAAGCATGGCGTGTAATTATCAACAACCGCAAACCATCTTAGCGTTGCTCTCATAAAAGGCATTAATTAATTAATTAATTTGTATTTAAGTTGCGGCAGCAGAACAAGCTCAAATATACGAATCAGTTTGCCACACTAAAGTTGCTATGCTGCACACATATCTATTCAAATTCCACACTGTCTGCCATGCAATTTAGTTAAACTAATTATTTCGGAAGATTGGCTAGAGAGCACCTTTTCACAGAAATGCCAACGTCGTCGGTTGGTTCTGTGTGCTGTCTTCAATCATATTCCAAATCATTTTTAATTGATGTTTTTTCCTTTGGGATCGATTTACACTTTTGGGTGAAGCAAAACATTTGTCTTCCCCGTTTTTGTATTGTCGCATGTGTGTATGAATACTTAATATTGTGTGCTTGCTTCTGACTCAGAAAGGTGTTAAGAGAATTCTCAGTATGTGCTTGTGTTCTACTACAATGCCAATACGTATTGATAAATTAATTGTTTAATATTAGTCGTTATGTAGTCACAATTATAAAGCAATTTAATTGTCGCTTATTGCAGATATGGATTTACTTCAATATTTCACAATTTTCGTTTTAAAATATATTGTGTAAAAAGATTAAAAAAAAAGTGATGGTGACATGAATATAATTTATAATAAGTAAATCACACATAAAAATATAATAAAAAAACTAATTTGAAAATATCGCAACAGGGAAGGCCCCATTTCTTAACATAATAGAACTGAAATTACTAATAGTTCACCAGCACCTATGCTACTCTTACAAACTAACAAGATGGTAACATATTACCAGACTAGAAAAGGATAAGACTTTTTAATATATTTTTTCCAGCATGGCCTCAAGGTAAAGATTGTGGAATATCTTTAAATCATACATATATATAAAATATATATACCAATGATTTCCTTCTCTTATTTTCTACACGATATCATGCTAATGTAGTAATGACATACTAAATTAATACGTTAATCATATTTTTTGCCAGTTTTGCTAGAAATAATGCTGGTACATATCATCGGGCGACAGTATAAAACTTTCAATAGTTTCTGAGTAGATGTAAATAGCTATTATATTTTTTTATGTAGTTGGTCACTTCATTTATATAAGCTCTACAGTATATTCTTATGGGTCGTTTTTGTTTGTATTATTATAGTTGGAATATTGGCATATATTTCCTCAATTACTGGGCTACTTTGTGTTTTGAATAGATCGAATGTTTTGTTTCTCTGACTGTAGCTATACTCCTTATAATATTCCCTATCCCTTTTCAAATTCAACTGTACTTAAAAATTTGTGTTATATCTTATGAATTCTTGGCATCTATTTTGAACTGTCTGTTCATATTCATTGATCTATATTGATCTAATATGTAAATTTTGAACATATATCTTGAACAGTCTAGACTGACCAATAGTGTTTAAATACTTTCCCGAATACCACACATCCGCATAATAAGTTTAATCTTATAATTTGTTTCTAGATATTATATTGGTAATTAAATTCAAACATTACTTCAGTGAGAGTTTAATAATGCATTAGAATTATCTACAAACACTGTCTTGGTCTAAGAAGTGGTTAAGATGTACAGGAATTTGAGACCATTTTTTAATATGTTTTCGAAAAATATGTTTTCGATCAAAAGCAAATAATTAAAGAAACAATATTGTTGTTGCTGCCAACCTAATTCCACCGTTCTTGAAAAAATCTGATAGATACGCTTTGTTTTCGAACCATAGCATACAAAAAAAATATGTATATCTTCTAAAAAAATATTAAATATAGAATAGGAATTATAGGATAGGAGAATTGTAGGATTAAATAGGATTAAATTACAGCAACATAATTTCATTTTTAAATAAATGAATTTTTTGACTGATCATTCGAAATTTTACCAAATACTCATGCTGCCGAAGTAGGTGGATTCGCCGGGTACCACTTGAAGACTATAATTCCATCGAGTTAACACTCATATTTTATTTCCAGAAAATAGTTAAAGAAGAAAGCAAAACCCTGTCGATGGATTACAAGCGCAATGTCAGTCCTGTAGGAGTTGCACGTAGTACCAGGTCACTTTTAAATAGGCCGCTCCTAACCTGGTGAACAAGCGCCTTTTGCAGCCACTCAATATGAGTACTGCCGCTACGTTATGGACTGCGTTTAGCTTCATTACTCCTCATTCGACCTTACCGGCATGGGAGGCACTATCAGTAGCATGCTATCGCCGACATTACCCGAATATTCTACGTAACTACTGAACCTCCTCACCACATCAAGGTGGCAGTTCTCGTGGAGGCTATTCCATTACTCGTATATTATTTTTTGTCTTGTTTAAAAATTTTTATTTATAGCTTATTGAATTTCATAAATCTATGAAAATTCTCATCTGCAAATATACTTGCAAAAATGTTGATAATTATAGAAGTTTTTTGAATATCCATGAATTTGGATTTATTTTGGAAGCGTGTTATCCGTTATAGTATCTTTTAATAGTTTTCAATTTCATTTAAATTATTTTTATAAGTTAATTAATTAATTATTGTTTAAAAAAAATATACTGTATTGTACATAAATATTCTCTTACTATAAAAGGGTATTTTAACCTATGTCTCACACTTTAAGTTTAAATTTTTCTTAGAATTTGATATATTTTTAAATATTTCAAATTGATTATTTATTAAAAAAGCTCATTTAAAATAATATAGTATATATGTATAATCTTCTTATATATATTTACAGTCTACGAAAAGCTGGTGAATTTTATTGAACTGATTAGATACTCGCACCTCAAACAGTTTACAAACGACAGATACTTTTGATGTAAATGGTTTACTTTGTCCAAAATTCAAAGCTTTCCATAGTCTGTCGATAATTGCGATATAAAAATAATAAAATTATATTGTTTTAAATGATATGATATTAAAAAATAATTCTGTTACTTTAATTATAAAGAAATGAGTTCTGAGAAACAGTCTTTTGAGTGAAATTAAATTTTTGCTACAGTATTTATTGCTATTAATAAATTTTCATTTGAAAATTTTGCCAAAAATTAATTCTCTGAATAAAGTTTTTTAATAACTCAATTATTTGTAATAGAAACCATGCCTGGTGTTGCCACCATTTCATTATTTACCTTCTACTGAACTTGGAACCAACTTTATTTGCATTTCATCGTATAGGTAATATGTAAAACAAATGAACAATTGGACTTTCGGTGTTTTGTTACTAATTGAGCATTTGAGTATGAATTATTTTATTTGTTTGTTTATTTGTTATCTTTATTTAATTTCTGTTAGTTTTGTGGTTTTTATAGTAGTTTGATAACTTATGTTCTGGTTTTGGATTCACTGTTCTGTCATAAATATCAAATATACAAAGTTTATTGCTGTACATCATCTCCGCCCTTATGTGAAGCTCTGAAGTTTGTTATTTTTACATGTTTATGCGTTTATTTGCTAACAACAGTTTTCTTGTTATTTATTTTGTTACTGTTTTACACATGAATAAAGAACACATATCAATTTACAAAAATACAATGTGGTAAAAATGCAACTCACATGTGTAAATAAGTAAGACCTTAATTCCGTATAACTCAGTTATTATTTATAAATATCTTAATTTTAAAGATATATGCGACGAAGAGAATCAAAAAACTAAAAAATGAGAGTAGAACCAGACAGCATGGCTAGCTACTGTGGATAGGTAGCTTAAAGTGGTAACTCAGTCCGTGATGTCACATTTTGATGCCACATTTTTGACTATTTATACTAACTATTTGATGCAGATTATACTACATATAATATAACTTATTCTGTGACAATGAATTTAGTTATGAGTTATTCCTCTTCGGGATAAGAGTCAATATCTTCCCGAAGTAAAGCATGATTGTCGTGGGAGACCACTAAAATCCATTAACCACAATTCTAAACTGCTTGGAGTATCACTAGTAATGAGTGCACTTCACTTGCGACACTAGACCAGAGGTGAAAATCCCGTACCACGGGGGTTAGGGCCCGCAGATTTGGCTATCCTGACTAATAAAGGTTGGCTCTTTGAAGAAAATAATGGTGGTTATAAATAGAATCCTAATATACGCAGGTAGAATGGCTATATTCATTTAGTTTTATTCGATGTGGAGTTGCATTTCTTAATTGGGTGCTGTTACTCAAACTATAGCCTAGATGTTTGACAGGCCTCACCACTAAGAAGAAAACTACAATATATCCAAACGTGTATAGCTTAAATTGGTACCAGCGAAAGTATTTTCCAAGAATAAAATCACATTAAAACAGACATCTATAAGTTCCTTGCTCTTGAATAGAGTTTTAAAGTTGTGATGGTGATTCGAAACAGTTATAAAAAAATAAATTTAATGTTACATTGTTTTTATTTACATTCAGTCAAATGAATATCAAGGATTATGTATTAATAAATTACAGCATATTGTTAACGAAGCTTAAATTTACGGTGTAAAATAAACTCGTCTTGAGTCCATATATCTTCTATTATTCCATCTGTGATCTTTATTACTAGTTTACTACATGCTCATTAAAACTGAACAAATGTGTGATTGTTTCAATTTTCTTTAGAATATCTTTGTCTTGTATATCTAAGCTGTAGACATTTTCGATAAAAATAATTCGTCAAACACATCACAATATTAAAGGCAAATTCCTTTACAATTTTTTTATTCAAGAATAAAATTGGCATACTTAATTTCCTATAAATCAATTGATTTTGCACTCTTATAATTAGTAGAAGTAGTACGTAGTACAGGCGCTTGCTATATAAACGT